ACTTTGTAGAGGCGCTGTTGCGCCTTCTTCACCACAGTGTTTGTAATAATAATAAATAATAATAATAATATGCCATTTAGCAGACGCTTTTATCCAAAGCGACTTAGTCATGCGTGCATACATTTTTTGTGTATGGGTGGTCTCAGTGATCGAACCCACTACCTAGGCGTTACAAGCGCCGTGCTCTACCAGCTGAGCTACAGAGGACCACCCATACACCCATACAGTGTTTGTGTGGCGAGACCCTTTCAGGTCCTCAGTGATGTGCACGCCGAAGAACTTGAAGCTTTTGACCCTATCCACTGCGGCCCGGTCGATGAGGATGAGGGCGTGCTCCCTCTGTAGTCCACGATCAGATCCTTCGTTTTGTTGACGTTGAGGGAGAGGTTATTTTCCTGGCACCGCTCCGCCAGGGCTCTAACCTCCTCCCTGTAGGCTGTCTCGTTGTTGTTGGTAATTAGGCCTACCATTGTCATGTCGTCTTTATGATTTGAATTGGAGTCGTGCGTGGCCACGCAGTCATGGGTGAACAGGGAGTACAGGAGGGGGCTGAGCACACACACCTGAGGGGCCCCCGTGTTGAGGATCAGCTTGACGGAGGTGTTGTTTCCTACCCTCACCACCTGGGGTCGGCCCGTCAGGAAATCTAGGATCCAGTTGCTCAGGGCGGTGTTCAGACCCAAGGCCCTGAGCTTAGTGACGAGCTTGGAGGACACCATGGTGTTAATAGCTGAGCTGTAGTCGAGGAACAGCATTCTGACATCATCAGTCCTAATAGTTCCTCTATGATAGGTCATATGAAATGAGGTTTTTTATTACTTTAATTATTTATTGGAAGCTGTAACCTGGGTTAACATGCATATTCATGTCACTGGAAGTCACCTTTCATCTCCATGTTACTCTGTTTTTGTACTACTTTATTATTGTCTTTTTTTTACAGAGACTTACGAAGACTTTGACTCCCGAGTGATCGAGGTGAGTGCTCTTCAAAGACTAACCCAAAATGTTGGAATCTGGTACCATGATATTAACCCAGCCCAAAACAGTGCATCATGGCATCTAGCAAAGTCTGTAGTTTGACAAAGCAGTACAGACACAATGCAGTAACGTAGTGCTATTTAGTGACTTTGAAGAAAAGTGGATGGGATCCCTTTGATGGTTGATGGTCCCTGGGAGAGCTGGGTTTGATCCGTGGAGGCTGGCTGGGAGGATGTCTGTGTCTCCCCTGCTGCTTTCCGTAACTCCTTGCTTGGTGAGGAACAGCACTTAGTTGAGGAGCTGGGTGCCGACGGGCCTCTGAACATCCCTGATCAAAGAGCTTGAACCACAGCTGAACTCACTGAGGGAAACAGGAAAGGATACGACCCTGGAGCGCTCACACATGAACACAGGCCCTACCACAGTCATGCTGAAGTCTGTGTATTACACACTGTATGAAAAAGGGCAAACGAGTCATATGTTTACACTCACTGATACATCTCACCTGCTTCACTCCTACTCAGACACTCACGATACATCTCATCTCTACATTAGGGCTAGGAATTGTCAAGGGCCTACGATATTATCACGATACATAGGTGCCAATACGATTATCACGATTCTATATGTATTGCGATTCAATATTGCGATTTGATGTCTGCTGCAGAGAGACGAGAGAGCGCATGAGAAAATTTGTTTTGATCAGTCATGGAAATAAAAGTGCTGAAAACACATTGGCTCACTATTTATAAAGTAAAAAGAAGATTGGGCAATAGGATGAAAATTACCAGAGTTTTGGCGAAGGTTCAGCCGACTAATGTAGCTAACGCTACCTAGCATCACTCCTACTCCGGCACTAACTGAGTGTTGGTGGGGGTAGGGGGCTAAAGGTAGTCGATCATCCCACCTCCACCCCCCAAGCATTGATAACATAACATGATTCCTAATCATGCACCTGCATGATCTTCCAAAGGACAGTTTTATGCCTTGTGGCTGCCAGAGAGAGACTGTAGGCACAGACAGCCATGTTGTCAGCACCAAGGTCTCACTGCAACTCAACCCCCTTAATGGAGGAAATTATGTGACGTTTTCTATTTTGGTAAATGAAGGGAAATACGGTGATATGAAAATGGCGGCGATATGGATATTGCTAATACAGTATGTTGTTATCAGAGGCACCCCTCAGAGAGGATATTGGAATATAGACAGAGTCGATTACAAAACACTTTGATAAACAGATACACAAGCCAACCGGCACCCAAAACAAACTCCTCGCCGTCCTCATCAATCCTCATTATGGTGCCAAGAGAGAGAGAAGAGAGGGGCTTCGGCGATTCAGGTATACATTTAGCTTCCCCATCCAGTCGGAGGAGATCTCTCCCGGTAATGATGGTGCTTTCCATTTAGGCTAATTGAATACAAATGGATGTAGTGGAGGGCCTAAACTAACAGGGACCATCCATAGAGGTTATCTAGCAGGGACGTGAGACACAGAGCTACTGAAATCCACCTCAAAGCATTAAGCCGCTGTAATAAAGTCAATTTATACCTGCAGCAATGGACTCCCTTATCGTGCGCCACAAACACACATGGCACAGACACACATCGCACAGACACACACACCACTTCTCCTTTTGGCTGTGTAATTCCACAGTGATTCTCTTTTATGCATTACACAGGTTCTAGATTAAAAGTTGGATGAAAACATATCCTCGGCTAAGGTAAAGTAGGGCAGTGGGGAATTGTCAGCGTGTAGAGAGGTCTGCGGATGTCCGGTTTACGGTGGATAACGTGGGTCTAAGAAGGCTGCGGTCCTCTCCATTGCACTCCCTCCTCTCCTCCCTTTTTTCTCAGAAGTGAGCGCTAGACCCCACTACACCCTCAGCCTTGTGATACAGTCCACAGTAGATGTTCTTCTCAGTGACCCGTGAGCCACTGTGTTTGTTCTGTTCTAATTCTAAAGACACTACTGCCTGACCAGGTTTCACACACCTCCCCTATACAATCTGTCAATCAAGTCCTTGAGCTGTGATTGGCCAGTGAGCGGCTGAATGGTGCAGCCAGCCACCTGGCAGATGCTTAGATGGCAGATGAGTCACACGGATGAAAGCCAGAGCGGAGAGATATAAAAAATATTTGGTGGTGATTTTGAATATTAACATGCTGAGTACTTGACATCCCCCTTAAAGCCTGGCAGGCTGATTAAAGCTCTCGTTCCCTAACATGTGAGCTGTGGTTGCCTGAACCGTACGCTCCTCTTGAACATAGAGGTACAGCTATATATTCCTATTGAAAGAGGGAGATTACCGGTGAGAGGGGCACTTAGAGACCGAGCGAAAAAATTGTGTTTTGCCATGGGATCCAAATTAGACCAGGTTGTGTCGCAACTCAATATTCACATCGCACATTTCTTTCTCCAAAATGCCATCGGGAAAGCTGTTTTTAATGCTATATTGATAGTAAATGTAGCAATTATATGACAAGGAAACAACATTCCCACTTTCTCCATTGTCAATAATTACATTTGATGAAGAATGTTAGTAAACTCACTGGTTTGAGACCACAAAATCAACCAAATAGCTCTATATTGAAAATAGTAATTTAAAATAATTCTGAGATTAAATTATAAAAAAAAAATATATATATATATACTGTATACTGAACAAAAATATAAATGCAACATGTAAAGTGTTGGTCCCATGTTTCATGAGCTGAAATAAAAGATCCCAGAAATTTTCCAGACAAACAAAAAGCTTCTTTCAAAGATTTTGGGCACAAACAAAAAGCTTCTTTCAAAAATGTTGGGCACAAATTTGTTTACATCCCTGTTAGTGAGCATTTCTCCTTTGCCAAGAAGCTGATTAAACAGCATGATCATTACACAGGTGCACCTTGTGCTGGGGACAATAAAAGGCCACTCTAAAATGTGCAGTTTTGTCACACAACACAATGCCACAGATGTCTGAAGTTTTGAGGGGTATTTGCTGAGGAGTATTTCTGTATGTAATAAAGCCCTTTTGTGGGGAAAAACTCATTCTGATTGGCTGGACCCCAGACCAGTCATGTGAAATCCAGAGATTAGGGCAGGGGTAGGAAACCCTGTTCCTCGTGTGCTGCAGGTACTGCAGGATTTTGTTCCAACTGGGCACCACACCAGGCCAACTGAGCTAATTGATTAGTTCTGTGATTGTCTAAATTCAACCCACCTGGTCTTCCAGGTCGGTTAAATCAAAACATGAAGTGCCTGCAGCACTCGAGGAACAGGGTTGCCTACCCCTGGATTAGGGCCTAATGCATTTATTTCAATTGACTGATTTCCTTATATGAACTATAACTCAGTAAAATCGTTGAAATTGTTGTATGTTGCGTTTATATCTTTGTTCAGTAGATTTTAGTTATGTATTATTTATCATTCTACACACGTTCTACCTGGTTTTAGTTGTTTAAATTCAGACTGGAGTATTTTTTCATCTCCCCCCAAAAAACAGACATCTGTTGAGAATCTCTGAACTAAACAACCTTCAAAGTATTCCCAAAAGTCAAGAATTTGTTCAGAGACACACACACCTCTCTTGCAGTAGAATTAAATGTGGGCTCTGTTTTCTATACCGATAGTAGTTAATCCATTTCATATAGTAGCTCAGTCAGTCTCCAGTATGCACATGGTGAAGTGGTGTCCATTAGTCCTGTGCCAGCCAACACGGCTCAGTGTTTACCATACTAGATTGTTGATCAACACACAGCGGTAGAGTTTAGTTAAATCTTCCTCCACAGTCTCCTCTCTCCAGCTCCTGATGGGCCCCACCATGACACCCAGCACCAGCTCGTCTATGATATCACTTCTCTCGCATCGCACTGGAAAACGTTGATTTGATGACTTCATGCATGTTTAACTAACTATTGCAATTATGTTTTCTGCTTGGCAGTGTTAATAAAGTTAGCTTTTAAACAAATCCGTGGAGAAGCGATTTGCCGGCGTACCCGCTAACTCGAGTTAACTATGTATGAGGGTTCAGGACACAATGTTTGTTCCTAATCGTATTCAGGTGAATAGAAAAAGATATCATGCATTTGGCTGTATCTGTGCTGTTCTCTGCAGCTGAGAGAGAGACCTGGCAATAAGCAGCAAATGGCAACAAGAATATAATGGCAAAGTGGCTTCATGGCGCTGCCAATTTCATTAGCATGCAACTGGAGCTCTCCTAGTCTGACTCTCTCGTTCTCTCTCTCTCTCTGGGTGTCTCAACACATTGTCTTTGGAGTCATATTTCTATTGTTTAATACCCAGCAGTTATGGTTTCCTCTGAATGGAGTCATAATACTGTATGTTGGGTTTCAGCACACTTAATGTATTCCTATAATGAGCTCTCCTCTTTCACTCACGCACGCACACACACACACAGGACCAGGTCTGGATTCAGTACAGGCTGAGTTAGCAGCAGGTCTGGGTTCAGTACAGGCTGAGTTAGCAGCAGGTCTGGGTTCAGTACAGGCCGAGTTAGCAGCAGGTCTGGGTTCAGTACAGGTTGAGTTAGCAGCAGTTACTGTTATAGAGTTTAGGAGCAGAATGAATGAACACATGAATGAATAACAACATACTCTACTTGTTACGGATACAGGTATCCTGTGTTTTTGTGTGTTTCTCTCCTTCTGCCCTAATCACAGGTGTCCTGTATGTTCCTGATTGGTGGTCGTTGAGGTGTCTGCTGATTGGACCAATCAGTGAACATTCCTGTGAATTGCACCACCTGTTACTCGTTTGTTCAATCACACATCCCATTTTATAAAAACCAGACTTGTGTTTGTTGCACGAGAGAGAGAGACTTTTTGCCATATGTGAGTATGGACACGGTGGTGTCCTGTGTGTTGTGTACGCACTAAGTTGTTGGTTACCCTATTGGTAACATTATTAGAATATATTTCTTTACCTGAGTGTGGATACTGTTGTATCCTGTGTACTTATTTAATTGCTGATTACCCTGTTTAGTAGCTTTGTGTGTTTTTTTGGGGAAAAGGGGGGTTTAAGCTAGTTGCCCTTGGGCGTACATTACCCGTAGGAAGAAATCTGTCTATAAACACCAGTTAGACCTGAGCGGACCACCCACTGTATTTTTGTATGGTAGCAGTAGCCTAGCGGTTCTTCAGGCAGGCTAGATCAGTTTAGGGGGTTTTACACTATTGTTTCATTTCTTGGGTCCTGCTCAGCCCTTTTTCCCAAACCTTTACCGTGTGTTTAGCAATAAACCATTTAAGTTTGACGGTAGCTCATGGTTGTTGTGTCATTTTTGGTTCTCACTGTTCCAGGTCACACTTATAATTTGCATAACTTATGTTACGGGTCTCATGTCCATCCACCCTAGACGTTTAGAGCCACGGGGTTCGTAACATAAAGTGGCGGTTCGTCCGGGATCCTATCTATCCCATGATACTCATGTAAATTAGTCAGTGTCTGGTTCAGTGTTGAGCTTGGCAGCTGTAACTACCTGTTTTTTTTGTGTGTTCAGTAGTCGACGGCTCGTGTTGCTAGTAGGATGGCTACTTTTGATTTGGAAGCATTTTTGGAAAACCCTACGTGGGAGATTTTTGATAATTGCCGTAGAGTGGATCTACAGGCTTTGGCTGACCACTTTTCTGTACCCATACCGAGGGGTTTAGTGAAAGCAGAAGTTAGGGAAGTAGTGCTAGCGATATTGTTAAACGAGCGAGTGCTTGAGTTACCGCCGCCTGAGTCTGCTGCTCCTGTAGGGGATGTGGTTGCTGTTCCTGTAAGCCCATCAGTGTCTGAGGACGAGGCTAAGGCTCCAGCCACATTGCCCCGTTATGACCCACTCTCCCCACTGACTGACAGTGATGCCAGGATCGATGTCCGCTCTACACGGCTCCAAATGGAGGCGGAAGAGCGGGCACAAATCAGGCAAGACAAGCTGGAGATGCGTAAAATGGAGCTAGAGGCAGAACAGGAGACGCGTAAGATAGAACAGGAGACGCGTAAGATGGAACTGGAGACGCGTAGGCTTGATCAAGAACTGGAGACGCGTAGGCTTGATCAAGAACTGGAGACGCGTAGGCTTGATCAAGAACTGGAGATGCGTAAAATGGAACTAGAGGCAGAAACAGCGAGGTTAGTCTCTGCTAATACTATGCCTGCTAGTGAGCCATCCTCACCAGCTGTGTCATCTGCTACGTTTGATATTAGTAGGCAGATCACCTTGGTACCTGTGTTCAGGGAGTCAGAGGTTGATTCCTATTTCAGTGTTTTTGAACGTATAGCGGTAGCATTGAAATGGCCCGACGAGGTATGGTGCCTATTACTTCAGTGTAAGCTAACAGGTAAAGCCCAAGAGGTTCTGGCAGCGCTACCTCTTGAAGACAGTTTGAATTATGAGGTGGTCAAAGCTACTGTTCTTCGTGCCTATGAGCTTGTTCCTGAGGCATATCGACAGAGATTTAGGTCTCATAAAAAGTCTCCTACTCAGACCTATGTGGAGTTTGCTAGAGACAAAGGAAATCTGTTTGACAAATGGCACAGTGCTAGTAAGGTAACTGATTTTAACTCTCTACGGGAGTTAATCTTGTTAGAAGAGTTTAAAAAATTGTTTACCGGAACGCATTGTAGTTTATCTGAACGAACAGAAAGTATCCTCACTGTCGGAAGCGTCTGTATTGGCAGACGAGTTTGTGTTGACGCATAAGAGCGTGTTTTCGGCTCGTACGGAGAGCAGGGCTGCGGAGTTGCTAACTTCTAGTCCTAGTCGACCAGCAGTACATCCAGCACGCCCAAAAGATGTGCGTCACTGTTTCTATTGTCATAAGGTGGGACATATAGTTAATGATTGCTTTCTGCTAAAACGCAAACCGGGGATGCCTCAGCACGCCAGGCCGCCAACGGGTGTTGGGCTGATTCGTACGGTTGTAAGGCCGGAATCAAGACAGAAGCCTCATAGTGAATGTGGTTTGAAAGTCCCTGTCCCAGATCACAGTTATGAACCGTTCATTTTTGAGGGGTTTGTTTCTATATCAGATGATGAAGCGTCTCAGCGTCCAGTTAGAATCCTCAGAGATACTGGTGCGGCGCAGTCGTTCATACTAGCTGATGTGTTGCCCTTGTCTAATAATACATATTGTGGTTCCAGTGTGTTAGTACAAGGAATTGAAATGGGTTTCGTCCCAGTGCCATTGCACTTTGTGAACGTACACTCTGAGTTAGTCAGTGGATTGTTCAGAGTTGGCGTACGTCCGATGTTGCCAGTAAAAGGGGTGACCTTTATAATGGGCAACGATATTGCCGGAGGAAAGGTAATACCCATATTGGAGGTATTGGATAAAAGTGACCAGTCTCTCTCCGAGGAGCTGGCACAGGGTTATCCAGATGTGTTCCCCGCTTGTGCTGTCACACGTGCTCAAGCACGACAAGTGGGTGAAGTGGTAGATTTGTCAGACACGATTCTATTCAGAGAGTGTGACCCAGAGGATAGTTCGGGTGCTACCTCTGGTAAGCTGGTGCAGTCTGACCAACAGCCCAGAGAAAGGAAGAAGGATGTGGAACTTGTTGCTGAGGCAATACAGTTACCAGTTACTCGTGAGCAGCTGATCGCTAACCAAAAGGTTGACATTAGCCTGGCTAAATGTTTTTCTAGTGTTGTCTCAGAGGACGAGCTAAAGAAGAAAAACATGGCATACTTCATTGATGGTAATCTCCTCATGCGTAAATGGACATCCCATGTTGACGCTGGCGGAGATTGGAATGCTGTTTACCAAATAGTGATTCCTACAGCCTTTCGACAAAATGTTTTATCCCTCGCTCATGATCACCAGTGGTCCGGACATCTGGGAGTCACCAAGACTTATGATCGAGTTTTGCGACATTTCTTTTGGCCTGGCTTAAAACAAGATGTGGCTCAGTTCTGTCGGACTTGCCACACCTGTCAAGTAGTTGGGAAACCGAACCAGGTTATTTCCCCCGCGCCTCTTTGTCCCATACCGGCCATAGGTGAACCATTCGAACATGTGATGGTTGATTGTGTTGGACCATTACCAAAAACAAAATCTGGTAACCAGTTTATGTTGACAATTATGTGTGTGGCCACCAGGTACCCAGAGGCCATTCCTCTGCGAAGGATTACTGCTCCAGTGGTGAGTAAAGCGTTGATCAAATTCTTCTCAACTTTTGGATTACCTAAGGTGATACAAACTGATCAGGGTACGAATTTCCTTTCTAAACTTTTCAAACAAGTGTTAAAATCCTTGTCAGTTACACACCGTGTGTCAAGCGCATATCACCCAGAGTCTCAGGGTGCGCTTGAACGTTGGCATCAGACCCTGAAGTCTATGCTCCGTAAATATTGCTTGGAATCTGAGAAAGATTGGGATGAGGGAGTTCCTCTAGTGTTGTTTGCTGTCCGTGAGACAGTACAGGAATCCCTAGGGTTCAGCCCAGCTGAACTGGTGTTTGGACACACCATGAGAGGACCTATGAAAGTCCTTAAGGATCAGTTTTTGTCACAAGAGTTGTGTGTGAATGAAAATGTGTTGGACTACGTTAGTCGCTTTCGTGAGCGCCTACATGCTGCCTGTGCTCTAGCAAAGGAAGCGCTGTCTTCCTCACAGAAACGGATGAAACGACACTATGACACACAGGCGGTTTCTCGTTCACTGCAGCCAGGTGACCGAGTTCTTGTGTTGTTGCCTGTGCCAGGGGCGTCATTGTCAGCACGTTTCTCTGGGCCTTATGTCATTGAAAAGAAACTAACTGAAACTGACTATGTGATACAGACTCCTGATAGAAAACGCCAATCTCGTGTGTGCCACGTTAACATGTTGAAGACATACCACAACAGACCCGTCACTCAGGTAGACAGTCCAGAGAAACTGGCCGAGTCGGCTGTCTCTGTTGCTGCTACGGCTGTAGTGGGAGGTAATGTTAATGATGTGGACGGAGATGGTTTGGAGTTGCGCAATACTCAGCAGCAGTGTGCTAGATTGCCAAATTCAGAGATGCTGTTGTCTCTCCCGTCAAGCCTGATTCATTTAACGGACAGACAGTCAGATGATATTGTGAGACTGTTACACAGCTTTCCATGTCTTTTTAATGATGTTCCTACATGTACAAATGTGTTAGAACATGACATTAATGTTGGAAACGCTGCACCTATCAAGCAACATCCTTATCGTGTCAACGTCGCTAAGAGAAAGATAATGAGGGGTGAGGTCGGTTATTTGCTGGAGAATAACCTGGCTATGCCAAGTTCAAGTCCTTGGAGTTCTCCGTGCATTCTGGTTCCTAAACCTGATGGGACATCCAGATTATGTACGGACTATCGGAAAGTCAATGCTGTCACAGTGCCCGACTCGTTCCCGTTACCCAGACTGGATGACTGTATTGATACTGTTGGTGCTGCTACTTATGTAACCAAACTAGATCTTCTAAAAGGTTACTGGCAGGTGCCGTTAACCCCACGTGCCTCCGACATCTCTGCCTTTGTGACCCCAGATCACTTCCTACAATATGCTGTCATGGCATTTGGGATGCGGAACGCACCAGCCACTTTCCAACGCCTGGTTAACACAGTATTGGCTGGAGTTCCTAATTGTAGTGCTTACCTTGATGATCTGGTCATTTATTCAACTGAGTGGTCTGATCATGTTAACACTCTAAGGGTAGTGTGTGAACGTCTAGCAACCGCTTCTCTAACCCTGAACTTAGCAAAGTGCGAGTTTGGGAAGGCCACTGTTACTTATCTGGGTAAACAGGTCGGCCATGGTCAGGTGCGCCCTGTAGATGCCAAGGTCTCAGCTATAAACGCATTTCCCGCACCTACCACCAGAAGAGAGCTACGCCGTTTTTTAGGGATGGTTGGCTACTACCGTAGTTTCTGTAAAAATTTCTCTGCTGTAGTTGCTCCATTAACGGATTTGCTCAGTCCGGCGAGAAAATTTGTATGGTCTGAAGATTGTTGTACTGCTTTCAACACTGCTAAAGCACTCTTGTGTAGTACTCCTGTTCTTGCTGCGCCAGATTTTGAACGGCCGTTTAAACTGGAGGTAGATGCAAGTGCCAGAGGTGCTGGTGCTGTTCTACTGCAGCAAGACCAGAGTGGAGTGGACCATCCTGTCTGTTATTTTTCACGGAAATTTAACAAATGTCAGACAAACTATTCCACCATTGAACAAGAAGCTCTAGCTTTGTTGTTAGCTCTGCAGTACTTTGAAGTTTATGTTGGTTCCAGTGCATTACCAGTGGTAGTGTATACTGACCATAACCCCTTAGTTTTTCTCCACCGGATGTACAACCAGAACCAACGCCTTATGCGTTGGGCACTTGTCATGCAAAATTATAATTTGGAGATCCGCCACAAAAAGGGGTTAGATAATGTGTTGGCAGATGCTTTGTCTCGTGTGTAATGATCTAGGGTTTTTTTTTGTTATCCCGACAGGATGATTATTGAAATTTGGGTGTTGTGATGGTACGTGTCGCAAACCATTGTGGTTTGCTCTTTTAAGGGTGGGAGTGTTACGGATACAGGTATCCTGTGTTTTTGTGTGTTTCTCTCCTTCTGCCCTAATCACAGGTGTCCTGTATGTTCCTGATTGGTGGTCGTTGAGGTGTCTGCTGATTGGACCAATCAGTGAACATTCCTGTGAATTGCACCACCTGTTACTCGTTTGTTCAATCACACATCCCATTTTATAAAAACCAGACTTGTGTTTGTTGCACGAGAGAGAGAGACTTTTTGCCATATGTGAGTATGGACACGGTGGTGTCCTGTGTGTTGTGTACGCACTAAGTTGTTGGTTACCCTATTGGTAACATTATTAGAATATATTTCTTTACCTGAGTGTGGATACTGTTGTATCCTGTGTACTTATTTAATTGCTGATTACCCTGTTTAGTAGCTTTGTGTGTTTTTTTTGGGAAAAGGGGGGTTTAAGCTAGTTGCCCTTGGGCGTACATTACCCGTAGGAAGAAATCTGTCTATAAACACCAGTTAGACCTGAGCGGACCACCCACTGTATTTTTGTATGGTAGCAGTAGCCTAGCGGTTCTTCAGGCAGGCTAGATCAGTTTAGGGGGTTTTACACTATTGTTTCATTTCTTGGGTCCTGCTCAGCCCTTTTTCCCAAACCTTTACCGTGTGTTTAGCAATAAACCATTTAAGTTTGACGGTAGCTCATGGTTGTTGTGTCATTTTTGGTTCTCACTGTTCCAGGTCACACTTATAATTTGCATAACTTATGTTACGGGTCTCATGTCCATCCACCCTAGACGTTTAGAGCCACGGGGTTCGTAACACTACTGATTCCCAAAGGGAAACCTCTCTTCTGGAGTCAGTGTTGTTGATTTGGGAGCAGAGTTCTGTTGGACCGGTACAAGCTCTACATCTGATCTCTCCAGCTGTACTGTTGTGTCCTGGTCCTACTGTCCTCTTGCGTCCTGGTCCTAATATTCTGTTGTGTCCTGGTCCTACGGTCCTGATCCTACTTTCCTGTTCTGTTGTGTCCTGGTCCTAGTGTCCTGATCCTACTGTCCTGTCCTGTTGTCTCCTGGTCCTACTGTCCTGTCCTGATGTGTAATGATCCTATTTCCTGTCCTGTTGTGTCCTGGTCCTACGGTCCTGTTCTGTTGTGTCCTGGTCCTACTGCCCTGGTATGTTGTGTCCTGGTCCTACTGTCCTGGTACTACGGTCCTGTTCTGTTGTGTCCTGGTCCTACTGTCCTGTTATGTTGTGTCCTGGTCCTACTGTCCTGTCCTGTTGTGTCCTGATCCTACTGTCCTGGTCCTACGGTTCTGCTGTGTCCTGGTCCTACGGTCCTGTCCTGTTGTATCCTGGTCCTACGGTCCTGTCCTGCTGCATCCTGGTGTTACTGTCCTGTTCTGCTGTGTCCTGATCCTACTGTCATGTTCTGTTGTGTCCTGATCCTACTGTCCTGTTCTGTTGTGTCATGTCCTGCTGCGTCCTGGTCCTACTGTCCTGTTCTGTTGTGTCCTGATCCTACTGTCCTGTTCTGTTGTGTCCTGTCCTGTTGTGTCCTGGTCCTACTGTCCTGTTCTGTTGTGTCCTGGTCCTACTGTCCTGTCATGTTGTGTCCTGATCCTACTGTCATGTTCTGTTGTGTCCTGATCCTACTGTCCTGTTCTGTTGTGTCCTGTCCTGCTGCGTCCTGGTCCTACTGTCCTGTCCTGTTGTGTCCTGGTCCTACTGTCCTGTCCTGTTGTGTCCTGGTCCTACGGTCCTGTCCTGTTGTGTCTTGGTCCTACTGTCCTGTTCTGATGTGTCCTGGTCCTACTGTCCTGTTGTGTCCTGGTCCTACTGTCCTGTCCTGTTGTGTCCTGGTCCTACTGTTCTGTTGTGTCCTGGTCCTACTGTCCTGTCCTGTTGTGTCCTGGTCCTACTGTCCTGTTGTGTCCTGATCCTACTGTCCAGTTCTGCTGTGTCCTGGTCCTACTGTCCTGTTCTGTTGTGTCCTGGTCCTACTGTCCTGTTGTGTCCTGGTCCTACGGTCCTGTCCTGTTGTGTCTTGGTCCTACTGTCCTGTTCTGATGTGTCCTGGTCCTACTGTCCTGTCCTGTTGTGTCCTGGTCCTACTGTCCTGTTCTGCTGTGTCCTGGTCCTACGGTCCTGTTCTGTTGTGTCCTGGTCCTACTGTCCTGTTCTGTTGTGTCCTGGTTCTGCTGTGTCCTGGTCCTACTGTCCTGTTCTGCTGTGTCCTGGTCCTACTCTCCTGGTCCTATGGTCCTATCCTGCTGTGTCCTGGTCCTACTGTCCTGTCCTGTTGTGTCCTGATCCTACTGTCCTGTTGTGTCCTGGTCCTACTGTCCTGTCCTGCTGTGTACTGGTCCTACTGTCCTGTTCTGTTGTGTCCTGTTCTGTTGTGTCCTGGTCCTACTGTCCTGTTGTGTCCTGGTCCTACTGTCCTGTCCTGTTGTGTCCTGGTCCTACTGTCCTGTTCTGTTGTGTCCTGTTTTGTTGTGTCCTGATCCTACTGTCCTGTTGTGTCCTAGTCCTACTGTCCTGTCTTGTTGTGTCCTGATTCTACTGTCAAGTTCTGCTGTGTCCTGATTCTACTGTCCTGTTCTGTTGTGTCCTGTCCTGCTGTGTCCTGGTCCTACTGTCCTGTTCTGTTGTGTCCTGGTCCTTCGGTCCTGTTCTGTTGTGTCCTGGTCCTACTGTTCTGTTGTGTCCTGGTCCTACTGTTCTGTTGTGTCCTGGTCCTACTGTCCTGTCCTGTTGTGTCCTAAACCTACTGTCCTGTCCTGTTGTGTCCTGGTCCTACAGTCCTGTCCTGTTGTGTCTTGGTCCTACTGTCCTGTTCTGATGTGTCCTGGTCCTACTGTCCTGTTGTGTCCTGGCCTACTGTCCTGTTCTGTTGTGTCCTGGTGCTACTGTCCTTTTCTGTTGTGTCCTGGTCCTACTGTCCTGTTCTGTTGTGTCCTGGTCCTACTGTCCTGTTCTGTTGTGTCCTCTTCTGTTGTGTCCTGGTTCTACGGTCCTGTCCTGCTGTGTCCTGGTCCTACTGTCCTGTTCTGTCTGTTGTGTCCTGGTCCTACTGTCCTGTTGTGTCCTGGTCCTACGGTCCTGTCCTGCTGTGTCCTGTTCCTACTGTCCTGTTCTGCTGTGTCCTGGTCCTACTGTCCTGGTCCTGTCCTGCTGTGTCCTGATCCTACTGTCCTGTTGTGTCCTGGTCCTACTGTCCTGTTCTGTTTTGTCTTGTTCTGTTGTGTCCTGGTCCTACGGTCCTGTCCCGCTTTGTCCTGGTCCTACTGTCCTGTTCTGCTGTGTCCTGGTCCTACTGTCCTGTTCTGCTGTGTCCTGGTCCTACTGTCCTGTTCTGCTGTGTCCTGGTCCTACTGTCCTGTCCTGTTGTGTCCTGATCCTACTGTCCTGTTGTGTCCTGGTCCTACTGTCCTGGTCCTACTGTCCTGTCCTGTTGTGTCCTGGTCCTACTGTCCTGTTCTGCTGTGTCCTGGTCCTACGGTCCTGTTCTGTTGTTTCCTGGTCCTACGGTCCTGTTCTGTTGTGTCCTGGTCCTACTGTTCTGTTCTGTTGTATCCTGATCCTACTGTCCTGTTCTGCTGTGTCCTGGTCCTACTGTCCTGTTCTGCTGTGTCCTGGTCCTACTCTCCTGGTCATATGGTCCCATCCTGCTGTGTCCTGGTCCTACTGTCCTGACTGCTGTGTACTGGTCCTACTGTCCTGTTCTGCTGTGTCCTGGTCCTACTGTCCTGTTGTGTCCTGGTCCTACTGTTCTGTCCTGTTGTGTCCTGGTCCTACTGTCCTGTTCTGTTGTGTCCTGTTTTGTTGTGTCCTGGTCCTACTGTCCTGTTGTGTCCTGGTCCTACTGTCCTGTTCTGTTGTGTCCTGGTCCTACTGTCCTGTTCTGTTGTGTCCTGGTGCTACTGTCCTGTTCTGTTGTGTCCTGGTCCTACTGTCCTGTTCTGTTGTGTCCTCTTCTGTTGTGTCCTGGTCTTACGGTCCTGTCCTGTTGTGTCCTGGTCCTACTGTCCTGTCCTGTTGTGTCCTGGTCCTACTGTCCTGTCCTGTTGTGTCCTGATCCTACTGTCCTGTTCTGCTGTGTCCTGGTCCTACGGTCCTGTTCTGTTGTTTCCTGGTCCTACGGTCCTGTTCTGTTGTGTCCTGGTCCTACTGTTCTGTTCTGTTGTATCCTGATCCTACTGTCCTGTTCTGCTGTGTCCTGGTCCTACTGTCCTGTTCTGCTGTGTCCTGGTCCTACTCTCCTGGTCCTATGGTCCTATCCTGCTGTGTCCTGGTCCTACTGTCCTGACTGCTGTGTACTGGTCCTACTGTCCTGTTCTGCTGTGTCCTGGTCCTACTGTCCTGTTGTGTCCTGGTCCTACTGTCCTGTTGTGTCCTGGTCCTACTGTTCTGTCCTGTTGTGTCCTGGTCCTACTGTCCTGTTCTGTTGTGTCCTGTTTTGTTGTGTCCTGGTCCTACTGTCCTGTTGTGTCCTGGTCCTACTGTTCTGTCCTGTTGTGTCCTGGTCCTACTGTCCTGTTCTGTTGTGTCCTGTTTTGTTGTGTCCTGGTCCTACTGTCCTGTTGTGTCCTGGTCCTACTGTCCTGTCCTGTTGTGTCCTGGTCCTACGGTCCTGTCCTGCTGTGTCCTGGTCCTACTGTCCTGTTCTGCTGTGTCCTGGTCCTACTTTCCTGGTCCTACGGTCCTGTCCTGCTGTGTCCTGATCCTACTGTCCTGTTGTGTCCTAGTCCTACTGTCCTGTCTTGTTGTGTCCTGATCCTACTGTCAAGTTCTGCTGTGTCCTGATTCTACTGTCCTGTTCTGTTGTGTCCTGTCCTGCTGTGTCCTGGTCCTACTGTCCTGTTCTGTTGTGTCCTGGTCCTTCGGTCCTGTTCTGTTGTGTCCTGGTCCTACTGTTCTGTTGTGTCCTGGTCCTACTGTCCTGTCCTGTTGTGTCCTAAACCTACTGTCCTGTCCTGTTGTGTCCTGGTCCTACAGTCCTGTCCTGTTGTGTCTTGGTCCTACTGTCCTGTTCTGATGTGTCCTGGTCCTACTGTCCTGTTGTGTCCTGGTCCTACTGTCCTGTCCTGTTGTGTCCTGGTCCTACTGTCCTGTTCTGTTGTGTCCTGGTCCTACTGTCCTGTTCTGTTGTGTCCTGGTCCTACTGTTCTGTCCTGTTGTGTCCTGGTCCTACTGTCCTGTCCTGTTGTGTCCTGGTCCTACTGTCCTGTCCTGCTGTGTCCTGATCCTACTGTCCTGTTCTGCTGTGTCCTGGTCCTACTGTCCTGTCTGTTTGTGTCCTGTCCTACTGTCCTGTTGTGTCCTGGTCCTACTCCGTCCTGTTGTGTCCTGGTCCTACTGTCCGTCCTGTGTGTCCTGGTCCTACTGTCCATGTTTGTGTGTCCTGGTCCTACTGTCCTGTTGTGTCCTGGTCCTACTGTCCTGTTGTGTCCTGGTCCTACTGCCTGTCTGTTGTGTCCTGGTCCTATGTCCTGTATTGTTGTGTCCTGGTCCTACTGTCTGTCCTGTTGTGTCCTGGTCACTTCCTGTCCTGTTGTGTCCTGGTCCTACTGTCCTGTCCTGCTTGTGTCCTGTCCTACTGTCCTGTTCTGTGTGTCCTGGTCCTACTGTCTGTCTGTGTGCTGTCCTACTGTCCTTGTCCTGTCCTACTGTCCGTCCTGTTGTGTCCTGGTCCTATGTCCTGTCTTGTGTCCTGTCCTACTGTCCTGTTTCTGGCTCTGTCCTGGTGCGTCCTACTGACCTGTTCTGTTGTGTCCTGGTCCTACTGGTCCTGTGTGTGTCCTGGTCTACTGTCCAGTCCTGTTGTGTCCTGGTCTATGTCCTGATTTTCTGTGTCCTGGTCCTACTGTCCTGTTGGTGGTTCCTGGTCCTACGCCTGTCCTGTTGTGTCCTGGTCTTACTGCCTGTTTCTAGTTGTTCCTGGTCCTACGGTCCTGTTCCGTGTGTCCTGGTCCTACTGTCCTGTTCTGTTGTGTCCTGATGCTACTTACCTGTTCTCGTGTGTCCTGGTCCTACTGTCCTGTTCTTGGCCTGTAGGTCCTGTCGCTGTGTCCTGGTCCTACTGTCCTGTCCTGTTGTGTCCTGGTCCTACTGTCTGTTCTGTATGTGTCGTCTGTGTCCTGGTCCTATGTCCTGTTGTGTCCTGGTCCTACTGTCCTGTTCTGTTGTGTCCTGATCTACTGTACCTTTTCTGTTTTGTCTTGTCCTACTGTCTGTTCTGTTTGTGTCTGGTCCTATTCTGTGGTCCTGTCCTACTGTCTGTTGTGTCCTGGTCCTACGTCCTGTCCTGCTTGTGTCCTGGTCCTACTGTCTGTTCTGTGTGTCCTGGTCTACTGTCTGTTCTGGTGTCCTGGTCCTACTGTCCTGTTTGTTGTCCTGGTCTACTGTCCTGTTCTGTTGTGTCCTGGTCCTACTGTCCTTTTCTGTTTTGTCGTGGTCCTACTGTGCTGTTCTGTTGTGTCGTGGTCCTACTGTTCTGTTGTGTCCTGGTCCTACTGTCCTGTTGTGTCCTGGTCCTACAGTCCTGTCCTGTGTGTCCTGGTCCTACTGTCCTGTTCTGCTGTGTCCTGGTCCTACGGTCTGTTCTGTTGTGTCCTGGTCCTACTGTCCTGTTCTGTTGTGTCCTGGTCATACTGTCCTGTTTCTGTGTCTCTGTCTACTGTCCTGTTCTGTTTTGTCCTTGTCCATACTGTCCTGTTCTGTTGTGTCCTGGCCTACTGTCCTGTTCTGTTGTGTCCTTGTCATACTGTCCTGTTCTGTTGTGTCCTGGTCCTACTGTCCTGTTCTGATGTGTCCTGGTCCTACTGTCCTGTTCTGTTGTGTCCTGGTCCTACGGTCGTGTTCTGTTGTGTCCTGGTCCTACTGTCCTGTTCTGTTGTGTCCTGAGTCCTACTGTCCTGTTCTGTTGTTCCCTGTCATACTGTCTGTTTGATTGTGTCCTGGTCCTATTTTGTCCTGTTTCTGTTTGTTTGTCCTGGACCTACTGTCCTGTTCTGTTGTGTCCTGGTCCTACTGTCCTGTTCTGTGTGTCCTGGTCCTACGTCGTCGTGTCCTGTTGTTGTCCATGTTTGGTCAACTGTCCTGTCCTGTTGTGTCCTGGTCCTACTGTCCTGTCTGTTGTGTCGTGGTCCTACTGTCCTGTTCTGTGTGTCCTGGATCCTACGGTCCTGTTCTTTGTTGTTGTCCTTCTGTCAACTGGTCCTGTTCTGTTGTGTCCTGGTCCTACTGTCCTTGTTGTGTCCTGGTCCTACGGTCCGTGTTCTGTTGTGTCCTGTCCTACTGTCCTGTTCTGTTGTGTCCTGGTCCTATGTCTGTTCTGTTGTGTCCTGGTCCTACGTCGTGTTCTGTTGTGTCCTGTCCTGTTGTTGTCCTGTCCTACTGTCCTGTTCGTTGGTCCTGTCACGTCCTGTCTGTTGTGTCCTGGTCCTACTGTCCTGTTCTGTTGTTTGGTCACTGTCTGCCTAGTGTCCTGTCTCTGTTTGTGTCCTGGTCCTACTGTCCTGTTCTGTTGTGTCCTGGTCCTACTGTCCTGGTCCTACGTTCTGTCCTGTCTGTGTCCTGGTCCTACTGTCCTGTCTGTGTGTCCTGGTCCTACGGTCCTGTTCTGTTGTGTCCTGTCTACTGTCCTGTTCTGTTGTGTCCTGGTCCTACTGTCGCTGTTGTGTCCTGGTCCTACTGGTCGTGTTCTTTGTGTCCTGGTCCTACTGTTCCTGTTGTGTCCTGGTCCTACTGTCCTGTTCTGTTGTGTCCTGGTCCTACATGTCCTGTTACTGTTGTTCTGTCCTGTGGTCCTGGTCCTACTGTCTGTTCTTGTGTTCTGGTCATACTGTCTGTCTGTTGTGTCCTGGTCCTACTGCCCTTCCATCTGTTGTGTCTGGTCCTACTGGTCCTGTTCTGTGTGTCCTGGTCCTACTGTCCTGTTCTCTAGTTTGTGTCTGGTTCTACCGTCTGGTCCTACGTCTGTACGATGGTTGTCCTGGTCTAAAAGGTGCCTGTGGAGTCCAGTCTCTGTCCTGTCCTACTGTCCTTCTCCTTTGTGTCTCCTGGTCCTACTGTCCTGTTCATTCCCTCTCCTGGTCCTCCCCCTGATCCTGTTCATGTGTGTCCTGTCCACTGTCCTGTCTCTTAGTGTCCTAGGTCCTCTGTCCATGTCTCGCTCTTCCATGTCTACTCCCTGTCCTAGTCCATGTCCTGTTCTCTCTCCGTGTCCTCTGTCTCTACTGTCTCATCGCTTCCTGGCCTCATCCTTCCCTGTCCTCACGTTCTCAGTGTCCTGGTCCTATGCTCCTTGTCCTATGCCTCTCCATGTTCTCGTCCTCAGCTCTTCCATGTCCTCATGCTTCTCCTGTCCTTGGTCCTACTGCTCTCCTTCTGCTGGTGTACTGATGTTTCAATTCCTGCATCTCTCTCTGCTGTCTCATCATCTGACATGGCTCGTGTCTATCGACTACTCCATGTCCTCACAGCCCTCATGTCATGGGTCACAAGCTCTCTCATTCCTCATCCTCTCCTCAGTCTCTCTCTCTCCCTCACTCTGCTGTCTCCTGCTTTCTCTTTACTCCTGCTCATCAATGCTCCCTCCCTCTCCTCTTCTCCCTCCATCGTTCCTCTCGCTCATGTATCTGGCTCTCATCAATGTCCTAATGCTCTCTCCAATGTCCTAATCTCTCTCATGTCCTCATCGCTCTCTCCATGTCCTCATCTCTCTCTCCATGTCCTCATCTCTCTCTCCATGTCCTCATCGCTCTCTCCATGTCCTCATCGCTCTCTCCATGTCCTCATCTCTCTCTCCATGTCCTCATCGCTCTCTCCATGTCCTCATCGTGTCCTCATCGCTCTCTCCATGTCCTCATCGCTCTCTCCATGTCCTCATCGTGTCCTCATCGCTCTCTCCATGTCCTCATCGCTCTCTCCATGTCCTCATTGTGTCCTCATCGCTCTCTCCATGTCCTATCGTGCCTCATCGCTCTCTCCATGTCCTCATGCTCTCTCTCCATGTCCTCATCCTCTCTCCATGTCCTCATCGTGTCTCATCGCTCTCTCCATGTCCTCATCCTCTCTCCATGTCCTCATCGTTCTGTCTCATCATCCATCTCTCTCTCCATGTCCTCATCTCTCTCTCCATGTCCTCATCTCTCTCTCCATGTCCTCATCTCTCTCTCCATGTCCTCATCTCTCTCTCCATGTCCTCATCGCTCTCTCCATGTCCTCATCGCTCTCATGTCCTCATCTCTCTCTCCATGTCCTCATCTCACTTGTCTCACTGGACTTTCCCCCCCCCCCCATCTTTCCACTCTTTCATCCCTCTCCCTCTTCTGGGTTGGGTGTCTCCTACAGCACACTGCTGCAATCATTATCTGTCTCATTGTCACACTCCTCCACATCACAGTGAAGAGTAAAGAGATGTATCTCTGTATCTGAAGACAGCTCAGAGGCTGTGTATGGCTACAGCTTCAGCGGTTTGCACTCAGCCATGGTCAGGAATAGAGCCATTTTAGACTGAGGATGCAGAGGAGGCAGAAACATCTACCCAAAGAGATGGAGAGGTGGATAAATATAGAGTGTGTGTGCACACGTGCGCAGGAGGGCAAAGTGAAGATCTTTAGGTTCATGATCCCAACCTTAGGTTCTGGCCCTTACTGGTGTTGGCCCTGTAAGAAAAAATATCCCCTGCTCTCTCTCTCTCTCTCTCTCTCTCTCTCTCTCTCTCTCTCTCTCTCTCTCTCTCTCACGTAACTATTGCTGCTCTCTGAGCTCAGGGCAGCGTTTTCCTTTGATGTGCTCTAAGCTCCAAATCCCTGCCTGGGTTTCTGCTTTATCATTTACACTGAAACTAGCACGGGGAAAAGTCCCACTCCCCCCCCCCCCCCCCCCCCCCCCCACTTAGACTCCCCCACTTAGAGACTGACACTTAGAGACTCCCACTTTCTGGATGGAGGGAGCACAGGTGGAATCTTGTCACAGTCAGACTGGATTTAATTATATTTGAGTATCTGGTATTTAAAATATTTGTTTCTGTATATTTGAGTATTTTCAAAATACACATCCCAGAATAAGTAATTTTATTTGAGTATTTGAATGGCTATTTGAAAAACCAAATATAGGAACAGAAAGGAGGATACCTAGTCAGTTGCACAACTGAATACAAGTATTTCAGAGGCAACAGTATACTGGCCTACTACCTGAGTCTACCTCAAGAACAGTGATTGATATTTATGGTCATGGTGAACAACAGTGTCACCTCACATTAGTGCAGTACAGGGACAGAGTAGAAGTTGAACGCTGCTCATCCCTGAACACCAGGAAGTTTGTTTCTTAGTATTCAGCAACTCTGCTCTGCTCTTTCTCACACAGTCATGCGTGTAGCTGCACAGATGGAAATGGCCTCTGACACTGCTGCTCAAGAGTAATGCTCACATAACTACTTCAGTCACTTTGTGTTGCTTGGGTCTGTTCCCATCTCTTCTCTGATCCTCCAACTCACTGGTCTGTGGCAGCGATGTTCTATATATGTTTGCTGTGTGTGTATTGCAGTGTGTCTTTGTGTAAATGTATGTTCTATGTCAGTTTGTGTGTGTGGATGTGTGTAGAGCAGCTGTTGTCTCTCCTCCAGTGCTGTATGTATGGCTAACCCTCAGCCATGTCCCATGGTCCAGTCATATGCTCACACTGCCCCCTGCTGCCTCCCAGGTCACACTGCAGCTCGTAAATCTGTCCGGAGGGAAGGTAACAGAGTGAATGGACAGGGAAGGGCAGCAGTCGTCTCTCTATCCCGATCAATGGGAACCTCTTACATTTTGAGAGGGTGTCTAGGAGGGATGAGATGGGCTGTCTCCCCAGGGGCAAACACACACACCGCCCCCAGACACCAGCAGGAACTTGAAGGAAAGATCAATCACTCTTAAACCCCCCCCCCAAAAAAAAAAAAAAAAATTATAATAATAATTGTAAAGTGGTTGTCCCACTGGCAATCTTAAGGTGAATGCAACAATTTGTAAGTCGCTCTTGATAAGAACGTCTGCTAAATGACGAAAATGTAATGTAAAATGTTAAAAAGCCAAAGGTTTAATAAGGTGCTACTTGCATTCTGTTTGATAATGATTGATCATTTGTTCGTTTGACTATACACTCTGGTCAGTTTATTTGATGGGACTTTTAGGAGGAAAGCAATATAATATAAAATATAATATATTATATAATATAATACCGGAGAAGAGTGAAAGGAAAAGAGGAAGGGAAGATCATCACCAGGCCTTCCTTCCTCCTCCCATCAGTTCTCTACCAGGGTCCATTCTCTGCTTTATAATAGGATGTCTGAGTTAACGGGCTCCTTCTGCCTCCCATAAAGAGGAGCTGTTTCACATTGTTCTGGTCTGCAGTGTCTGCAGTAATGGGTGGTTTTGTGCTCCTCTGCTTCAATTCCACTCCCTGACTATCAGGAGAGATTTAAATGGTCTTGCTAGAAGTCATTTCTCCAACACGATGGTTTTGTGATTCTAGCCGGACTGTTTTGGTGCTCAATCTAACCTGTCCCTTGTGGATTCTGCTGGTCTACATTGACCTGGTTGACGTTGGAATCTGTTGTTGCTCTTGTTGTTTGATTGACAGGTGAAGAGTGTGTTCAACATGACGGCCAAAGAGGGCAGGAAAAGGTCAATCAGCTGCCTGGTCGCTGTCGGCAATGGGAACGGGGCCGCAGGTGAGTCCAAATGAAGGCTGGAACAAAAGCCTGCTGGAGGGTGGCTCTGAGTTCAATGTCTCAATCTACCTTCTCCTCAGTGTGTCGCTTGAAAGCTTTCAGTTCACTGAGACAGATGAGTGAAAAGTGTCTCTTATATTTTTGGCAGCCGACTAACAATATCTATGATTATAATGCATTATGGTTTTGAATGTGATTGGTTTATCTGTTGAAGCTGTCATCTTAATTAATTAGATTTTATCCAGCATGTTCCACCTAACTGTCAAGTGACAGCAGCATGGAAAGAGCAGCGATAAAGTAATCTGATATGGAAACTGACGGGCAGTGAAGCTGAGGGGGATAAAACCCAAAACATAATTCTAAAGAAGAAAATAAAGTTAAATAGCTAGACTTATTTCCATCTGTTCTTCGGCAGGTTTTGCCTTGGGTAAAGCGGCAGACCGTCAAACTGCACTGAGAAAGGTAAGACATGGCCCTCTTACCTGGAAAATACCCACACTGGCACTGTACACAATGAGAATACCAAACATTAGGAACACCTTCCTAATATTGAGTTGCACCCCCTTCTGCCCTCAGAACAGCCTCAATTCGTCAGTGCATGGACTCTACAAGGTGTCGAAAGCGTTCCACAGGGATGCTGGCCCATGTTGGCTCCAATGCTTTCCACAGTTGTGTCAAGTTGGCTGGATGTCCGTTGGGTGGTGGACTGTTGAGCATCAAAAACCCAGCAGCAATGCAGTTCTTGACACAAACCGGTGAGCCTGGCACCTACTACAATACCCCGTCCAAAGGCACTTCTATTTTTTGTTCACCCTCTGAATGGCACACATACACAATCCATGTCTCAATTATCTCAAGGCTTAAAAATCCTTCTTTAACCTGTCTCCTCCGCTTCATCTACACTGATTGGAGTGGATTTAACAAGTGACATCAATAAGGGATCATAGCTTTCACCTGGTCAGTCTATGTTATGGAAGGAGCAGGTGTTCCTAATGTTTTGTACACTCAATGTATATGTGTTTAATTATGGAAGAGACAGTGTTGAACACTGACAATGGTCTTCTTCCCATAACAGGCCAAGAACCGAGCAGTTCACTATCTGTACTACATTGAGAGATACAACGACCACACCAGTAAGTCACTGTGTGTGTTGGTCTCTGCGAGTGTGAGATCAGAATGTGTGAGTCTTTCTCTCCTCCTTCCCCTCCTCATCCTCCTTCCCCTCCTCACCCTCCTTCCCCTCCTCCTCACCCTCCTTCCCCTCCTCCTCACCCTCCTTCCCCTCCTCACCCTCCTTCCCCTCCTCATCCTCCTTCCCCTCCTCACCCTCCTTCCCCTCCTCATCCTCCTTCCCCTCCTCACCCTCCTTCCCCTCCTCATCCTCCTTCCCCTCCTCACCCTCCTTCCCCTCCAGGAACATAGACCTGTAGAACATAGACCTGTAGAACATTGATCTGTTTGGCTAACATGGTTTTTATTCTGACTGTCTGAACAGTAAACCAGGCTTTTTTCTATGTTTTATTCTGTCTGAACAGTGAACCAGGCTTATTTTCTATGTTTTATTCTGACTGTCTGAACAGTGAACCATGCTTATTTTCTATGCAAACCCCTGTACTTTTTACATTGACATTTTTAGTCATTTAGCAGACGCTCTTATCCAGAGCGACTTACAGTTAGTGAGTGCATACATTTCTCATACTGGCCCCCCGTGCGAATCGAGCCCACAACCCTGGCGTTGCAAGCGCCATGCTCTACCAACTGAGCTACACGGGACACCGTACTTTAAGTGAGCGAGCTCAAATAATATCTTATCTATTCCCTCAACAGACTAATCAAACTGCATATTTACAACACTGCACAAAATAAGTTAAATATTGAACACATAACAAAATACGTCAACAGTAATGTTCTTGCTAACAGTTTTCTACAGAGGGGTGGTTGCTGCAAATTGCTAGATCAAAGACAAGTTTTTCTCTCTGTAGGGTTTGTTTCATTCTCTTGCTGTAAGTGTGTCTCTGTGTTAATTACACACACACTGAAAGAGGCTGTTCCTGACAGGCCCGGACCTCCTGCAGCTACTGTAAATGTTCTGTTCTGTGGGTGATGTGTTTGTGACCAGGCCGGCCCAGACTAACACAGGACAGGCTGGCTCTTTGACTCCTGTCACTAACCCACTCAGTCACACTCACTCAAGGTTCTGACTCATCGCCCATGGCTCATCAGGAGAGAAAATGACCCCCTATTCCCTGTTTAGTGCACTTTGTTGGCCAGAGGTAAAGGGCAGCGCTGGCTGGGGTGAGCTGATGACTGACAGCTAGGTTGACTTGGATGTTTTTTTTCTTTGTAACAGTTTACCATGATATCAATTCCACCTTCAAGAGGACCACCCTACTCATGAAGAAACAGCATAAAAGTGTAGTAGAGCATTTGTGTGTGTGTGTGTGTGTGTGTGTGTGTGTGTGTGTTTTCATGGCTGCCCTAACAAGCTGTGCTCAACCCAGAGGAGCAACAAGTTGATGAGAGTTCAACTGACAGACCACTTAGCCCCCAGCACTAAGAAACGATACCATGTAAATGCTGCTCTCGTACACACACACACACACACACACACACACACACACACACACACACACACACCAACAGTATCTCTGATACAGTTCACACATTTACTCAAACACATACACACAGTCTTGAACACAAATCTACTCACACCCACATCTCTCATTTACACCCTGTCATGTAAACAGTCTCACACAGCATCGGAAGCAGGGGTGTTGTGTAAAGGATAATGAAACTCCAATGTAGTAGTCAGAGACACGGGGGCCTCTATCTTCAGGAGGAGTATCAACTCAGAGGACCTTTGTCCTCACACAGCAACACTAGACTCCCTTGTGAATGTTGCCGTTTGGAAGTCTGGACTGGCAAAGTATTATGTTACCTCGTGTATGAGTTCATTTGCTTCTGTGAGTGTCATTTGTGTGCAATGGAATGGAGTCATTAACACTGTGATAGGCTAGTCTGGCTAGTCTAACATGTCTCTGTCAGGTTACGGACTACACTGTCACCGCGCAGTCATCACCATCTGTAAGCTGATTGGTGTAGAGGACATGTACGCCAAGGTAGAGGGCTCCGTCAACCTACTCAACATCACCAGGGCTCTATTCACCGGACTGGCCAATCAGGTGAGCCGCTGTCAGCATCGTCAGAGTTGCCTGCTGTTCTCGGCCAATCCCCGGGACTCTTCCTGCAAAAACATAGTCATGAGCTCTGAACATAAACAAACACACACACACTGATTTACACTAACCCTCTCCCCTTCTCTCTCTGTAGGAGACTCACCAGTCCCTGGCTGAAAAGAAGCAGCTCCACGTGGTAGAGTTTCAGCCGGAGCGCGGGCCCCTGCCCCTCATCGTGGCCACCCCTAAGAAGGGAGTGCGTCCTGACCCCGAACCCGAGGAAGAGATCCCCAACACGCGGCTCAACTGGGACGACGTCCGTGCTGCTCAGGGCATGAAACGCTCAGTCTGGGCCGGGGTCAAGAGGACCATCTGGTGACCGCAACACGACCATAACACAAACAGAGCACAAGACCGGCCCTATGAACTGGACTGGTTGGGTTGGAGTGATGTTTGGCTGGTTTCAGGTTGTTGGGTTGTGAATGTGACTGGGAAGGAAGTTTGGCTCTCAGGCATCATGAGACTTATAAGACTGGAGCTCCATGGAGGTCATCACACGGGAAACACTCTTTTCACTCCACTTCAATACAGCTATGACTAGAAGTGATTTTAGTAGCAGGTGAAGAGATCCTTTTTGTTAACCTTAACCAAATTCTCCTAACCTGCTACGTTAATTCTCCTAACCTGCTACGAAAATGTCACTTCCAGTCGTAGCTGTATTGAAGTGGCGTGAAAAGAGTGTTTCTCCTATGCATATAACATCATGACTTCGTATTTCACCAAAGGTTGTGAAATGCATCCAAAAGAGTTTCACATCCAAACAGTTTAACTCAACCAATGGAGTGCATCTGTTTGGACTGTCAGAATAGTGTTGTTTCAGAATCACTTGTTCATGTGACATTGTTGAAAATGAGAGCTGTCTAATTAAAAATGTAAACTCTCCAAAAATGGCTTGTGTTGTGTTCTATTGCTTTTGAAGGAGCTGTCAGGACATTTCATGCTTTGATGCCAGTTATAGTGATAGTTACACAGCATATCGTTTCCTCAGCAGCTGTCGGCCGCTCGCTCCAGAGGCTCTTGCTGTTTTAGCTTTTCAGTTAATTTCCGCCTACATTCCAGTATACCACTACTAACATACTCACCACCTTCCACAAACATCATGAAAAGAAAATGGCTTCAAAGAACTCAAGTGATTTTAACAGTGAATGACTTTGTAAACTCAAAGTATACATTTCTGCCAGTACTTTTCCGTACTCTGACTTTCCATGTTATCTCTCCTTGACAATGTCCGGACTCTTTATTGTGTATGATTATTATATTTTAATGGTCCCTGTAGTCAACACATGAGTTATTAATAATGATGTGTGCAGGTACTGTTTGCCTCAACTTGGCAACCTCTTGGCAGGGAGTCTCTAGTTTGTAGTCTGAAGAAGCATTCATTCACACATGAGCAGCTCTCCAAAGAAGTACCGTCTGTCTTAAGCCAGACAGGCATTTATTTCAATAATGTTCTCTTAATATGGACTTGAACTTGGTGGTTGACATTATGGTAGGATTCAAACTAAGTGGTTCTTTAAAGTCTTTCAGCTGAATATATAAATAGCCTTGGTTTCTCAAATGACTGCCTCGCCTGGTTCACCAACTACTTCTCAGATAGAGTTCAATTTGTCAAATCGGAGGGCCTGTTGTCTGGACCTATGGCAGTCTCTATGGGGGTGCCACAGGGTTCAATTATTGGGCTGACTCTTTTCTCCTTGTATATCAATGATGTCGCTCTTGATGCTGGTGACTCTCAGATCCACCTCTACGCAGATGACAACATTTTGTATACATTTGGCCCTTCATTGGACTGTGTTAACAAACCTCCAAACGAGCTTCAATGCCATACAACACTCCTTCAGTAGCCTCCAACTGCTCTTAAACACTAGTAAAACTAAATGCATGCTCTTCAATCGAACGCTGCTGGCACCCACCCACCCGACTAGAATCACTACTCTCGACGGGTCTGACCTAGAGTATGTGGACAACTACAAATACCTAGGTGTTGGCATTAAGAATCTCCAATCCAAAGTTAAATCTAGAATCAGCTTCCTACTTCGCAACAAAGCCTCCTTCACTCATGCTGCCAAACATGCCCTCGTAAAACTGATTATCCTACCGATCCTTGACTTCGGCGATGTCATTTACAAAGTAGCCTCCAACACGCTACTCAGCAAATTGGATGTAGTCTATCACAGTGCCATCCGTTTTGTCACCAAAGCCCCATATACTACCCACCACTGTGACCTGTACGCTCTTGTTGGCTGGTCCTCACTACATATTCGTCGCCAAACCCACTGGCTCCAGGCCATCTATAAAACACTGCTAGGCAAATCCCTGCCTTATCTTAGCTCATTGGTCACCATAGCAACACCCACCCATAGTATGCGCTCCAGCAGGTATATCTCACTGGTCATCCCCAAAGCCAACACCTCCTTTGGCCGCCATTCCTTCCAGTTCTCTGCTGCCAATGACTGGAACGAATTGCAAAAATCTCTGAAGCAGGAGACTCTTATCTCCCTCACTAACTTTAAGCATCAGTTGTCAGCGCACCTTACCGATCACTGCACCTGTACACAGCCCATCTGAAATTAGCCCACCCAACTACCTCATCCTCATATTGTTATTTATTTTGCTCATTTGCACCCCAGTATCTATATTTGCACACCATTCCAGTGTTAATACTGATTTTAATTATTTTGCACTATAGCCTATTTATTGCCTTACCTCCATAACTTGCTACATTTGCACACACTGTACAGTGGGGGAAAAAAGTATTTAGTCAGCCACCAATTGTGCAAGTTCTCCCACTTAAAAAGATGAGAGAGGCCTATAATTTTCATCATAGGTACACGTCAACTATGACAGACAAATTGAGAAAACAAAATCCAGAATTCACATTGTAGGATTTTTAATGAATTTATTTGCAAATTATGGTGGAAAATAAGTATTTGGTCACCTACAAACAAGCAAGATTTCTGGCTCTCACAGACCTGTAATTTCTTATTTAAGAGGCACCTCTGTCCTCCACTCGTTACCTGTATTAATGGCACCTGTTTGAACTTGTTATCAGTATAAAAGACACCTGTCCACAACCTCAAACAGTCACACTCCAAACTCCACTATGGCCAAGACCAAAGAGCTGTCACAGGACACCAGAAACAAAACTGCATCAGGCTGGGAAGACTGAATCTGCATTAGGTAAGCAGCTTGGTTTGAAGAAATCAACTGTGGGAGCAATTATTAGGAAATGGAAGACATACAAGACCACTGATAATCTCCCTCGATCTGGGGCTCCACGCAAGATCTCACCCCGTGGGGTCAAAATGATCACAAGAACGGTGAGCAAAAATCCCAGAACCACACGCGGGGACCTAGTGAATGACCTGCAGAGAGCTGGGACCAAAGTAACAAAGCCTACCATCAGTAACACACTACGCCGCCAGGGACTCAAATCCTGCAGTGCCAGACGTGTCCCCCTGCTTAAGCCAGTACATGTCCAGGCCCGTCTGAAGTTTGCTAGAGTGCATTTGGATGATCCAGAAGAGGATTGGGAGAATGTCATATGGTCAGATGAAACCAAAATAGAACTTTTTGGTAAAAACTCAACTCGTCGTGTTTGGAGGACAAAGAATGCTGAGTTGCATCCAAAGAACACCATACCTACTGTGAAGCATGGGGGTGGAAACATCATGCTTTGGGGCTGTTTTTCTGCAAAGGGACCAGGACGACTGATCCGTGTAAAGGAAAGAATGAATGGGGCCATGTATCGTGAGATTTTGAGTGAAAACCTCCTTCCATCAGCAAGGGCATTGAAGATGAAACGTGGCTGGGTCTTTCAGCATGACAATGATCCCAAACACACCACCCGGGCAACGAAGGAGTGGCTTCGTAAGAAGCATTTCAAGGTCCTGGAGTGGCCTAGCCAGTCTCCAGATCTCAACCCCATAGAAAATCTTTGGAGGGAGTTGAAAGTCCGTGTTGCCCAGCGACAGCCCCAAAACATCACTGCTCTAGAGGAGATCTGCATGGAGGAATGGGCCAAAATACCAGCAACAGTGTGTGAAAACCTTGTGAAGACTTACAGAAAACGTTTGACCTGTGTCATTGCCAACAAAGGGTATATAACAAAGTATTGAGAAACTTTTGTTATTGACCAAATACTTATTTTCCACCATAATTTGCAAATAAATTCTAATTTTCTAATTTTGTCTGTCATAGTTGACGTGTACCTATGATGAAAATTACAGGCCTCTCTCATCTTTTTAAGTGGGAGAACTTGCACAATTGGTGGCTGACTAAATACTTTTTTTCCCCACTGTATATATATTTTCTGTTGTATTTTTGACTTTATGTTTTGTTTTACCCCATATGTAACTCTGTGTTGTTGTTTTTATCACACTGCTTTGCTTTATCTTGGCCAGGTCGCAGTTGTAAATGAGAACATGTTCTCAACTGGCTTACCTGGTTAAGTAAAGGTGGAATAAATAAATAAAAATTTCGGTTGGCACAGGACCAGTGTAATATGACCTTTCCACCACTTGGGGGTGCTATTTGCACCTGATATTCAGGCATCATATATTGTTTGTCTTTATTATGGATAGACATTTTGATTTTTTTTAAAGGTAATGAGTGAAATGTAGAAAAACAAATATTGTACATATGCTGTATATGTTATGACATCTCATAGCTCAAGTTCCTTGTTTTTGACCTTTTATGAAGAATCATTCCATTTATTGTATTGTAACGAATCTGACATTGTTGAGACTGCAAACTGCTCTCCCAAGGGAATTAACTTTCTTGGGCCAGTGGTTTTGGTGGTCATATCACGTTTCCTATACATTCTCACCTTTAAACAAATCATTGTGGGATTAACAAGTGATCAGATATACTCCTACTTAGGATGGAGGTCCTATCCCACTGGGCACAGATGTAATTTCAATGTCAAGGTTTGATTTACATTTGTTTGAGTTGTCAACTAACGTGAATTCAACGTGAAATCAAAACAAATTTCATAATGTCATTGGATTAAGTTAAAAGTTGTGGGGGAAAAAATGAAATTCCATTATTAGACTTAATTCACCTGTACATTTACTGTATCATCAGAGTGACTAGGTTGCTTTCTATGGGGAGTACATGTGGCTAAAAACAGATCGGTCACACCACCTGATCAACTCTATGTGAAGGAGATGTGTCACACTGCATGAGGCAAATGGTGGTCACACCAGATACTGACTGGTTTTCTGATCCACGCCCCTACCTTTTTTTATTTAAAGGTATCTGACCAATGGATGCATCTCTTTATTCCCAGTCTTGTGAAATCCATAGATTAGGGCCTAATGAATTAATTTAAATTGACTGATTTCCTTAAATGAAACTTTTGCATGTTGCGTTAATGTTTTTTGTTCAGTATAGTTCCAACAGAAAGGACAATAGAGGATTCCCTTGAAGCATTCTTTGAGAGTATCTAAACTCAGGCGAAGACCCAGATACAGACACAGGAGGTGGATGGTACAAGTCTCAGAGTTTATTACATAACAAGGGGCAGGCAAAAGGTCGTCATCCAAATCAGAATCAGGCAGGTACAGGACGGCAGGCAATCGGTAGCTCAAGGCAGGCAAAGAGTCGTAATCCAAATCAGAATCAGGCAGGTACAGGACGGCAGGCGGGATCAGGGTCAGGACAGGCAGAAAGGTCAGAACTGGGAAGACTAGGAAAAACAAAAACTAGCGCACAGGGAACACGCTGGTAGGACTTGACGGGACAATACTAACTGGCAACAGACAAACAAAAAACGCAGGCATAAATACACAGGGGATAATGGGGGGAAATGGGAGACACCTGGTGGGGGGGTGGAGACAAGCACAAAGACAGATGAAACAGATCAGGGTGTGACATAAAGACAGCCTTGAGATTAAGAAAATTATGTGACGTTACCTGTTTAGTGGGTTTCTTTTTATATTTTTGGCAACTTTTACTTCACTACATTCCTAATCAAAATAATGTACTTTTTACTCCATAAATTTCCCTGACACCCAAAAGTACTCGTTACATTTTGAATGCTTGGCAGGACAGGAAAATGGTCAAATTCACACACTTATCAAGAGAACATCCCTGGTCATCTCTACTGCCTCTGATCTGGCGGAATCACTAAACCCAAATTCTTCGTTTGTAAATTATGTCTGAATGTTGGAGTGTGCCCCTGGCTATCCGTATTTTAAATAAAAAAATACGAAAATTGCGCCGTCTGGTTTCGTTAATATAAGGAATTTTAAATGATTTATACTTTTACTCTTGATACTTAAGTATATTTGAGCAATTACATTTACTTTTGATACTTGAGTATATTTAAAACCAAATAATTTTAGACTTTTACTTTTACTCAAGTATGACAATTTGGTACTTTTTCAACCACTTGTGTCAAACTCATTCCATGGAGGGCCGAGTGTCTGCTGGTCTTTGGTTTCTCCTTTCAATTTGTGTCCAATTAGGACCTTGACAACCAGGTGAGGGTAGTTTCTAAATAATCACTGACCTTCATTCATCAATCAAGTACAACGGAGGAGTGAAAACCTGCATGCACTCTGCCCTCCGTGGAATGAGTTTCACACATGTGCTCTGGAGTGTTAAAGCATTCTTTGGGAGACAGCCTTGAGATGAAGAGAGTGATGTGACGTTACATGTTTAGTGGGTTTCTTACAGGGGTCAAATCCAGATTTTGAATAAAGCTCCGAAAGACCAAGTAAGGATAATAATTGATCTGATTTATATATTTATATTTAAAGTATTTAATGTCTGCTGTACGTCAAAGAAGTGAAAACTAATCTAAAGCAACTTGTACTGCAGAGCATATTAATTTGAACCATTTTGTGATAACAAGGAAATGACAAACAGTTTGTAAAGTACAAAAAAGAGATAGACATAATGTATTTCATTATCAGCAATCTCTAGATAAAAGGATGATTGCATTCCTTCTGTGATGTAGCACTTAGATAAGTGTCATCTACCTCTTATGGAATTATATCTAGGAGGCATCATCATCAGGTACTAATGACCATGCATCACATTTTTAACAATAGACAAAAAAAATTGAAAGAGATCATGCCTACTTGAGTGGAATAAAGTTTCAATGTGAGGACATCCACCACAACATATTATCAACCCACGCTTATTTGAAAAACTGTTGGTGTGGTGCTTGATTCCCAAAGTAACAAGTAATGCATAGGTTATTACTATGTAATTAGCGTTTTAAGATTATTATTATTATTTATTTTTTGTCATTTAGCAGACGCTCTTATCCAGAGCGACTTACAAGAGCAATTAGGGTTAAGTGCCTTGCTCAAGGGCACATCGACAGATTTTTCACCTAGTCGGCTCGGGGATTAGAACCAGCGACCTTTCGGTTACTGGCACTATGCTCTTAACCACTAAGCTACCTGCCGCCCTACCATGTTATTCAGCAGCCTGACGCAGGGGCAGACATTTCTAGCTAACGCCAGAATGCCTGGTCCATTCTTTGCCTAGTGGGCCTGTCTAACTTGGGTTTCTTGCTTAAATGGATCACTATCTAGCTAATAAGGGGCCTCAAGGAAGAAAATGGGCCGCTGTGGGGGCCTCAAGGGGAAAACAATGTCCCAGTGTGTTAGATATTTCAGAGACCATTTCTGGTCCCAGTCCGCCAATGGCCTAAAGCCTTGCATACTAGGCTAAATTCCTTGTAATTCCTGTAGCATAAAACAAATGAATGCGATAGGCTGGGCTGCATACTCTGTCATCAGTGCGCTATGCCTACTATCCGCTATCGACTACTATCCGCTATCGACTACTATACGCTATGCCTACTATCCGCTATCGACTACATTTACATTTACGTCATTTAGCTGACGCTCTTATCCAGAGCGACTTACAGTTGGTGCATACATTATTATTTTCATACTGGCCCCCCGTGGGAAACGAACCCACAACCCTGGCGTTGCAAACGCCATGCTCTATCAACTGAGCTACCTCCCTGCCTGCCTGCCATTCCCTCCCCTACCCTGGACGAATTGTGCGCCGCCCCATTGGTCTCCCGGTTGCGGCCGGCTACAGCAGAGCCTGGATTCGAACCAGGATCTCTAGTGGCACAGCTAGCACTGCGATGCAGTGCCTTAGACCACTGCGCCACTCGGGAGACACTATTGACTACTATCCGCTATCAACTACTATCCGCTATCGACTACTATCCGCTATCGACTACTATCCGCTATCGACTACTATCCGCTATCGACTACTATCCGCTATCGACTACTATCCGCTATCGACTACTATCCGCTATCGACTACTACAGTGAACTAACGGAGTGACAGGTGTTCCCTTATAAGAAAGACGACTTGCAAAACCTGCTGCGGAATTGTCTTAGGCAGTCTACCTTTCGCCAACTGGACACACCCTACCCTACACAAATAAGATTACTTGTTGACCTTTTTGTCCAAGAAAATGTCTAAAGAAAACGGAGTGTGCAAGCTGCATTGCTGAGGAATTCAGTCCTTTGTTTGCCACTAAGTTATGCTGATACATTTTTTCACTGCGACCTCTTCAGTTCCTATATTCATCTAATAGGTCTAAACTACCATAACAAAATGCATTGCCTCACATCAGCATTTTTATTTAACACCGTTGTATACGTTTTTGCTACACCTGGACATAGTCTTACATAATCTATTTCTTCTATCGAATTTTATCTCAGCAACTGAAACAGGCACAAACTTGGTTAAATATAAAACATATATTTTTTTATTTTATTTGTTTTATTATTGTACATGCATTTCACTCCAGATTGGTTTCTGGTATTTGCAGGAAGAAAATCATTTAGAAAAATATTGTAATATGTACAGATTACAATTGATGTCATATCAAAGCCTTGTCTAATGTCTATTGTCCCATTGTCTGTTGTCTTGTAGATGCTGGTCTTCATGAGGAATTCTTCCATCTCATCGCAGAAAAGATGGCATGGATAGTGTAGAGCAGAGTCACCAGATAACACATCACCTACAGGAAAAATACAAGATACAGAAAGGTGAGGAGTGGGATCGACCACTAGTTCTCTCACTTGGTTATGTGAAGTTGAACACTACAGCAGCCAACCCAAAGTGGACATGTTAATGGTGGGTTGCGACCCAAAGTGGACATGTTAATTGATCTTGTTACTCACTCTCACTCAGATATCATATTAACATGGTATAAGTCATGGGAAAATGTGTAGAATTGCAGGAAATATAGCCCCCAACCAAATCTTGCTTAGGGTCCCCAAAAGGAGGCATGTTTTCATTAGTTTGGGTCCCAGGAAAACACTACATTTCTTATTCGTGTCCAAGGCTGAAAAGGTTTAAGAACCCCTGCACTGCAGTGTAACCTATTTAGGCTACTATTTAGGATACTACAATATTCAACATGGTTCTTCTTGGGGAACATGCAGTAGGGTTCAGTTGAAGTACACTTTGTTTGAATCACAGGAGTGATGGAACATACCACTGCAGCAATGTCCAATTGGTATTCTTTGAAGAATACAGTGGTGAATTGTTGTAGACCAAGGGTGACATTGGCCTGTACCACTGCTGCACTGAGGTAGAAGAAGGCTGCAAGGGCATGATACGCAACATCCTAGAGGAGAGAGAGAGAGAGAGAGAGAGAGAGAAGATAGAAGAGAGAAGAGAGAGAGAGAAGAGAAGAGCGAGAGATAGAGCGAGAGAGATAGAGAGAAGAGAGATAGAGTGATCTCGCTCAAGCAGTTCTGCTAGTCTCTTCGAGAGCGATCTACGCTATCTTCCTCTCTGAGTCCCCTTGCTATTTGAGAAGATGAAAGAAACACATGAGAGTTACAGTCATCATCCAATAGAGACTACCTGTTATAACACTACAGCCTTTCAATAGACATAATGTTCATTATACTCTCATCATCATTAACATTATTTTTCATTACACATTTAGGATGGGAAGAAAATCCATATCATCGTCATTTTCATCCATTTTGAGTAAATCACTTTGATCAAAGATGGCTGTATGAATGGCTCTCAGACTCACCAGTGTGGGCCAGATGCTGCTCTTATTGGCTCCACTGATGAAGATGAGGAACCACAGTGTAGTGAAGATGAAGCAGAACACAGAGACAAACATCACCCAGCCCTGAGGGTTCGCAATCAGCACCTTTGTGGAGGCCACTAGGGTCCACACCAGACCCCCGAATATCTGCCAACAAGCACACATGCAAACACACACACACACACACACACACACACACACACACACACACACACACACACACACACACACACACACACACACACACACACACACACACACACACACACACACACACACAAACACACACACACACACACACACAGGAGAGAGAGAGAGAGAACACAGAACACATACAGTCATAAAGTCATAAAGTTAACATCAATGCATTTAGTTGACAAGTTGTTGGTCAAGGGATTTGATGGTTCAATCAGCCATCCACTTCTTAATGTCACCCCAATAGTGTCACTCCATGTGTTGTGGTAAGACCACAGAGAGCAGGCCACAGTAACAAGGTAAGTAAACATGCACCTCTAGGCAAGGTCTGACAGCTCTGTCTTACTAAACCTACTTTAGTCAGGGGTTCAACCATTTGCATAGAACATTTCACCAAGTAATGGCTGTGACAGCTAGGGCATGTAACAATAAACAGTTAAGGTTTCTATGTTATCTTTACCTCTGTCAAAAACATCCAAATGAACACTTGTTCATAATCATATGCTATTTGATTAGTTACTAGATACAAATGCCACAATTTCTCCATAGAGAAGCTGATACTGCTTCATACACAGTCATTTCCAAACTCACACACACATTCTGCCCCCTCCTTCAACAAACACGGCAATAAAAATTGGATTAATGGCGTTTTGATACAGTACGGAACATGTGATCTCCATAGTTTGGTTTCAGATAAGGATTTAACTGATATTCACAAACCAGAAATCACCATGGCCCAACATATTTTCAAGTACTATGGTAACAATTACCAGCAGAAATGCACCACCATTTATTTGAATTTGTACCTTTATTTAACCAGGAAAAGCCCATTGTTACACATAGTCTCTATCGCAAGGGATACCTGACCATGAAGGCTGCACCAATCAAAAAAGTGCATGGTATGAGTCTACACACAGTGTCTGCCATTCTAAAGTAATACTCCTGTCAGTGCACTCTGAAATACTTCATGCATACCCAAATATTACATTAAACAATCACATTTGTCTCCCTCTGATAAATGTGAAGGGCATTCATTCCAATTTCTTGAGTAAAGAGCATTAGAGTAAATAATATTTCTAGAGTCAAGAGCAGTAGTCCAGTCACAGCTGAGAGCAGAACACTTATTTGATTTGTCTGTACTCACAAACTCAGGGATGAAGAAGATGTCTGGAATAGTGGTGAACACACTGGTGCCACTGGGCAGAGGGTTGCTGGAAGCCATATTCCCAAAGTGTCTAGGCCTATCTGTGTGTTGTCGTGGGTGTTAATATGGGTGTGTGCCCAAGACAGTTCTATCTAGATTGAGACCTGTGAGCTAACAAATTCTGCCTTTTAAAGCCTTGCTTCCCTTAACCCACACCTGTTCCTCCTCCTCCTGTCTTTCTCTTGACGGTTTATTTCTTCACTACATTGAAATACCAGTTGGTTGTGTCAGCTCGTGTACAGATGTAGGATCTTAATTTGATCACTCTTTTGTTGTTGAGAAAAGCAGGAAATGCAAATGTGTAGTGTATTTGAGTTTTAAAAAAGGCTTCTAAAGTTTGTAATTTCCACTTTGAAATTTAAGACTTGATTTGCCCTAACAAAAAATATATCAACCCCTACAAAAATGTCCATTAATTATAATCCACATAATAATTCACATTTCCTGTTGCTGTAGGATTATTTTTTATTCTGTAGCAAACTGGATCAAATTAAGATCCTTCATCTGTATGTAAGCGAGAGGCCCAATGTGGCCCACATCACATCTCAAAAGTAACTGTCATCATCTATCACTTGCCACACCCTTGATGAAAATGGATAAGGTGTGCCATTGACTTCAGACAGGAGGCCCATTGTGTGTGGTGGGCAGGACTGTTTGCCAGGAGTGTTGCCTCCCCATTTCCATTCAGTTTGTCACCTGTCAACATTACAGTTCGTAGAGAACAAACCAGAGAGAGAGGGGGGAGGGCCAATCCCAGAAACTGCAGCATGAGCGCTATAACTGGGACAACCCAAGCTTACACACACACACGTATGGACATGGGAATAAGTATTTTTCCGTTCATGTTTGGTAAACATCTTCCTCATTGTACTTTTTAAAAATTTGATTGCAATATCCTGAGTCATATAGTTACATGTCATGTCTACACTCCTAGAAAAAAGGGTTCCAAAATGGTTATTCGGCTGTCCCCATAGGAGAACCCTTTTTGGTTCCAGGTAGAACACTTTTTGGATTCCAGGTAGAACTATTTTGGGTTCCATGTAGAACCATCTGTGGGAAGGGTTTTACTTGGAACCCAAAAGGGTTCTAACTGGAACAAAAAAAGTTCGACCTGGAACCAAAAAAGGTTATTCAAAGGGTTCTCCTATGGGGACAGCCGAACAACCATTTTAGGTTCTAGATAGCACCTTTTCTTCTAAGAGTGTATTGTTCATATTGGACAATAAATGTTCTTTCAGAGGGCCTGTTCTTGGCCCAGAGATCACTCCTCTGGTGTGTTTGAGCAGAGAGTAGGCTACTCCCTGAACCCTGCTCAGTGAGGCCTTTGTCATGGCGGTAGGACAACATATCTTCTCTGTGAATGCCCAGCGCAAACCTGTGACCCTATGCCTAGAGTAATGAAGTTCAACCAAGCATGTTTAAAGGCCTGTGTCATACAGACCTAAAGACGGGGCGGGGAGGAGGACTAGAGATCAAAGAGCTTTCCCATAAACCTACTAGAGTATCCACAGCCTTTGAACTGGGACGATGGAGTCTCACTGATAAGACATTCCACTGGTCTCCCAGGCAGAGAAACAGATTGAACAAGTGATTAACTTGGATGGATGCTTCTCATTCTTTTCTTTCAGTCTGCTATTTCCATTCAGCTTGTAAATAGGTGAAAGCGACGAGATGCAAGAATAACTTAGGAGCTCGATTCAATCCGTATTGCGGAAGTTCAGCGCTATAGCGCGATTGAAATTCCTGCGTTTGCGGAGATATCCTGAGTTCGCTGTAAAAGCTGCATATGGTGGCTTAAGGCCCAGACACACCCATTTGCTCTGGAATAGAGAAGGTGCAAATAAGGTTTGCAATTTGGCATCAATAACATGACAGTAATTCTACCTCAAAAACAAACACGTGAAAAGCAATTAATTTAAAACCTACCATAGCAGGTAGGACTAAATAAGGTTGCATAACCTTGCCTACTAGGACTGGGAATTGCCAAGGACCTCACGATACAATATTATCACGATACTTAGGTGCCGATACGATATGTATTGCGATTCTCACAATTCTATATGTATTGCGATTCCATACTGCGATTTTATTGTTTTGATGTTCCAAACATATTGCTCACTATACGTCTTCTGCAGAGAGACGAGAGAGAGCATGAGAAAATGAGTTTTGATCAGTCATGAAAATAAAAGTGCTGAAAACATGTCGGCTCACTATTTAAAAAGAAGATGGAGAACAAGCCCTTGATCATGACTCTCAGTTCCATTACATTACGCATAAGAGTCATTGGACTAAGGCATCTTCTGTACGGTTAAGAGCAGCAACGCTCAATCTGAACATTTACACACGTCGCTTGTGGTACGGTTTTAGGAGCATATCACCTTATCTTTCATATCAGCGAGAAATAATTTTCAAAAAACAATAGGTTAAATTGATACACACCTTTATTGGGTTAGTGTTCCCACACGGCCATATCTCCATGTTACAGCGTTTGTTTACGGAAAACAGACAGAAGACAAGATGAGACCACCTGTGCTAATTAGCTATCCAGCATGCTCCGAACATCTGTGTAAGCGTAACTCGGGAAGTGTAACGGAAGTGTAGTTTCATCAGATGGAGGCACCCAGAGCTGTATGGATCTGTTCAAAACTGCTACAGTAAGTGTACATTTTTTTATTTGAAGGATTCTTTCTCGATGATGAAAGATAAGGGCCATATGTTTCGAAAGCCGAATCGCAAGCGATGATTATTGACGTTTCTAAACATTAAAACACAGCGTTGGGATTGTAGTTTGTGGGTTAAGCTAATGACTGAAAACTGTAGAGAGAAGGCAGAATGCCCCCTAGAGTTTTTGAGAGCTAATGGAGAACAAGATATAGGATGAACAATTCCGGCGTTTTGGCGCAGGTACAGCCGACTAGCGCTAGCTAATGCCATCTAGCAACTCCCAAAAATATGTTTTTGATTTATTAATTATTATTTACAAATTGATATCTCGAGACAAAGTATCAATATAATATCGGAATCCATAAAATAGTTATTCCAGATATTGTTAGCTTTGCCTTGATTCGTCAGTCTCGTCCAAATCATCATGGCCCTGGTGAGTGACCTGAAGATTTGTAGTTCTGTATGATAGCTATCTAATTCGCGTTTCATTTTTGGGGGGTAATACAGGTGAATAACTTTGATAAAAGTCACCTTAAGTCTACACGAAACACAGCCCTTATTTTCTCAAATCCACTATGGAAAAAATGAATGGTGGAAAAATTATTTGAACCATTTGCATGTTCGACTGCTAGGTTTTATAGGAATAATGACTCATGCTGTGGTACTCTATAGAAAGCAGTAGTAATAGAGTCTTTTTGTAGGCACTAACTCCGCCATGGTTTCTTGAACAAAGCCTGTGGGAAAATTAATGGAGTTTTTGTAGGGTTTTTGGATAAATGCCGAAAATAAGGTCTGTGGTAAACACAGGCTTAGGAGATCTTAAACGTTTTGTTCTATTTTGGGATCCACTCCTGGAGACGTTATTTGCCTGATGACGCACGAGTGGAGGCTCTCATTTCATAGGCCTTTTCTCAATTAGATTTGCTCAACTCCTGCGTCCTCCATCCTCTCTGGCCTCCTTTTGAAAATGTTCAAAGGTAGTCAAGGAGAGGCAGGTAGGAGAGGGAAAGTGGACGAAAATGTGCTTGTATGTTAGACTTCTATGCTCTATCATTAAAAGCACAGTTCTGGGAGTAATGGAACTTACTCCTAAACAAAGACCCAGGAAAAAGTAACACTTTGAAACCCTTAAAACGACTGGATGAAACAACTGGGTGAAACAACTGGGGCCAGTGAGATTTACAGTAGTGTAGTGGGTGTGTGAGTGGATGTGTGTGCTCATCGTAGTAAGTAATCAGTGAGATGAAGGCATAAAAGGGATGAAACAATAAATTAATTACACATTATGGGGGATCTCCGATTGATTGATCTCTGTGTGAAACCATATTGGTATATCAACCTGGTCTCAGAGCATTTCGTATTATTCTGTACGTAAATCTGAGGACACTGTTACGTTTCGTATGGTCTGTATTAATTTGTGGATGTCCATCACCCATTTCTTATGATATTTTATTTATTACAATTCGTATTATATGTTCCGAATTTGCCAAAAGTACTTTATGTTGCAAATTTGCAAAACATATGATATTTTACGAATTCTGGCTAGGTGGCTAACGTTAGCTAGCTGGAAAACGTTAGCTAGGCTAGGGGTTAGGGTTAGGGTTAAGTTTAGGCGTTAGGTTAAAGGGTTAAGGTTAGGTTGAGCTTTTTAACCATTTTCATGTAGACTTGATTGTGTGTTTTGGATCATTGTCTTGCTGCCTGACCCAGCTGCGCTTCAGCTTCTGCTCACAGACGGATGGCCTGACATTCTCTTGTAGAATTCTCTGATACAGAGCAAAATTCATGGTTCCTTCTATTAAGGCAAGTCGTCCAGGTCCCGAGGCAGCAAAGCATCCCCAAACCATCACACTACCACCACCATGCTTGACCGTTGGTTCTTACTGTGGAATGCAGTGTTTGGTTTTCGCCAGGCATAATGGGACCCATGTTGTCCAAAAAGTTTTACTTTTGACTCATCTATCCATAGAACATTCTTCCAAGAGTCTTGATGATCATCCAGGTGCTTCCAGGGGCTTTTTGGCAAACTTGAGTCAACTCTTTGGACGAGATGGGTCCCATTATGTCACGACTTCCTCCAAAGCTGCCTCCTCTCCTTGTTCGGGCAGGCTTCGGCGTTCGTCGTCACTGGCTTTCTAGCCACTGCCGCTCATCATCTCATCATTCCATTTGTTTTGTCTTGTTTATTACACACACCTGGTTCATATCCTCTCATCAGTACATGTATAAGTGTTCCCTCTGCCCCCCATTATGTCTGGCAAAGCCATTTGTCTGGCAAAACCATTTGTTATTATAAACTCAGGTTCCCTTTATCTAATATCAGGTTTTGGTTGAAGATCTCATAACATTCAGTATCAAAAATAGAGAAAATCAGAAAGGCGGTAAAAACGTATATCTGTATGATCTACCTGCACCTTCATCAGTGGGATTGCCTGTGTCTGCTGACACCAACTACACTGACTCCAGCAGCGGCTTTGTCGTCGGGTTCGGCTCCTTTCCCTCTCTC